GGAGGCCGCGGCTGCGGGCGCGGCGCCTGGACGCGTCGGCTTGAGGGGCGCCGGCCGGCAACTCGTGCGTGTGGGGTGCGGGCTCGTAACGGCGGCGACTTTGGTGAACTTCCAGTCCACTTCGCCGGTGCACTACATCCTGGTGGAGCTTTCGTGCGAGATGTGGGGCCCCACCCTCGACGGTTCCGTCCACATCGAGTGGGCGATGAAGTTCATCCGGGAGCTGCTTCAGCAGCAGCTCCCAAAGCGCAAGGTCACGCCACTGACGCGGGTTATCTTTACCGGGCGCCTGCGGCCTGAGTACGCCATTGACAACAGCACCGATGTCTTCCACTCGCTGGATATTCCATGGATACTCGCAAACGGAAGTGTGGTGGTGGACGCTGTCGAGGAGATCAGCCATCACTGCATGGCCTTCGTGGAGCGGGTCCTGCACCAGGCACGGGAGCGGGTTCTCAAACAGCTGCTACTTTCCCATCACACGCACACCAAAGGCGCGGCGGGGCTCGACGAGGACTCTGGTGAGATTTCAGCTTCGGATTCGTCCGACAACAGCGTCCTCAACGACTTTGAAGAGGCGGCGATGCGGAAGGCGGAGTTGTTGTCGGCAGAGAATATTTTTGTCCACTCCAGGCACGCGAACACCCTCGAGGCGATCGGGATCACCCTGGAGCGGTGCAACCACCACTACCTCGATCGCCGCCTCCACAACAGCGGCCACGCCGTGACCGTCGTCTCGGCCGGGAAAGGTTACTACGAGGCGACGAACAGCATTGTGCAAGTCAACTGCGTCCTCCTTCACGATGTGGGCATCCAACGCATCCACGTGGTGTGTGTGGGGCGCCCGCCGCTGCATGTGACTCCTCTGCTGGGGTATAACCCTCTGGATAGCAGTCTGCGCTCGCAGCACCACCTCTACGGATCTTTGCAGCCCGGTGACGAGCGCATTTATGAGAAGCCGTTGTGGATGGTAGTGCTTTTCTATCACCCGGTCTTGGAGGTGACCTCGGGCGCGGCCGCATTCGAGCTGCTCCCCCGGGATGAATGGATCCGGCGGCATTCTCGCGCTGCCTTGGCCAAGGCAGAGGGACTTCCACTTGACGGGCGCCGGGCACGCACCCACCGTGCATCGGATTCCTCGCTTCATGTGGTGGATCCGCATGCGTCTGCGAGCCGAGGGGTCCTGGAACGACATCTGGGCACTTCTTCTCTTGCTTCTGTGTGCGTGAATGATGATGTTCTGATCCCTGGGCTTAGTCTACAGGGGTTTGCCGTATCGCAGGTGATATATCCGGCGTATGGCCCAACCGCGATGGCTGCCTTCTATCCAGACTGCAAACTAGTGGCCGGACCCAAGCGTGCACGAAGGGGCTCTCACGTTAAGTTTACTTCGACCAAAATCTTTGATTTTGATTATTTTGTCAAGAGCTCGATGGATTACGGGGAGGAGGGCAATGGGAGCGGCGAGGGGACGAGGGATAGCGGTTGCGGTACATCGACCAGCACCACTTCGAAGGAGCGCAGGTGGGAAACCGTTCTGGTCTCACTCCAACGAAACCGAACCCAGTCGTGCGCGAGCTGCCCGAGCGGTCCTATCACCGGTATCGCGACCTTCAACCGCGTGTCGTCCATGCGAGAGCGCAGTGGTCTACTCACCTCGACGATCGTTCGAGACGTCGTCCAACTGCCGCACTCCGTGCACCCCTCATCCTACCCGCTAGGTGGAAGCTTTCTTCCGCCGGGGGAGAGCTTATGCGGAGGGCGGCCTGACCTGCTCAGCACGGCGACCGACGGCGCCGTGAACACCTGCCAGCGATGCCAACACGTAACCTTGCCGAGCGCCATCCGAAGTCTGTGGTACTGCCTGCTCAGCCTGCCGAAGTACGGGTCATCACGCGTGGTGGCGTGCGCGGGCGCGAGTTTCTCCCCAGGGGCCTCCTCCTCGGACACCGACGATGGCAACGTGCTGTCG